GTTTTTCCATTAATATTTCTATTCCTTCCAAAGGGTCTTCCAAAATTATCACCAAATCATCAGCAAACACCAATAATTTATATATTTCCTTTTTAATCCTCACTCCAGCAATTCTCTCCTCTTGTCTTATGTCTCTGTTCAATACTTCCAAAGCTAATAGGAATAACAGTGGTGATGGGATATCCTTGTCTTGTCCCTTTCTGTATCTCACAATGTTTTGTTAATTCTCCATGTACAATTATCTGTGTCTTTTGTGAGGTATAAATCGATTTTACCCATTTAATAAAATTCTCACCTAAGTCCATATCTATAGAAGAGAATATGTGTAGTTCAGGGTTGAACTGTGGAGTCCTTGGGGTTCTCTGAGCTTGGTTCTTTTCTTGCAGACGTTTCGTTTCATGCCCCATGGCATGCCCCATGCCACAGTATATAAACAGAGGACAAACTCCATTCCATTCTAGCACTGAAGATGTTACCTGGCCAGGTAACAAAATGTTTGCAAGAAAAGAACAAAGCTCAGAGAACCCCAAGGACTCCAAAGTCCATATCTTCCAGAATTTTAAACAAGAAAGTCCAGTTCAAATGGTCAAAAGCCTTTTCTGCATCTAGAAAGATCAATGCAGCTTGTTTTTCATTTTGTTCTAGGTATTCCAAAATGTCCAATATGTTTGTATCATTATCTCTCAACTGTCTTTTGGATAAAAACCCATATTGATGTTCATGAATAAAGTCCTGTGTAAAGTCCATTTTCATTCTCTTGGCCAAAATAGTCATAAATCATTTATAATAATTATTCAGTAATGATATTGGGCGGTAATTTTTTGGCGAAGTCAGATCTTTACCTTTAGCCTCTACTGTCTGGTATCTTTCCAATTTCTAAAATAGAATTAATCATTTTTTGTAACAGTTGTAATAATTTATCTTCAAAAGATTTATAATAAGATGTGGTAAACCATCTGGTCCAGGCACTTTCCTTATTTTCCCCTTTTTTTAATGATTTCTCAGACCTCCCTTATTGTTATAATTCAGTTCAATTCAATAATTGTTTCTGTTTTTCTGTAATCTTCAGTAAGTTTTGTTTCCTTAAGTATTCATCAACCTTTGCCAGGGAAACGTCTTCTCCTTTATATAATTTAGAATAATATTGATGAAATATTTTTGCATCGTATTTTTATATATGATCACTGCTGCAAGACTACTATATGCACAAAAATGGAAAGACTGATATATCCACAATAGTTGGTGAAGATGGAACTAGCAGAGATGTCAGAATTAACTTGTTTTGCTTAGAGAAAGATCAGCTATTATGTTTATTAGTGAGTGGAAACTCCTTATGGACTTTTTGCTGAAAAAAGTAAAAAATGAGCTTGTGATTTATGGGTTTGACAATTGAAAACGGTAGCTTATAGAAGAAGGAAATTATGATGTAACCTTCGAAAGAGAGGGTAAAATATAAGTGCATCTATAACCACTGTCAAAAAGATCGGAAGCCACTTCTTTATAATCTTTTCTTTCTCTTTCTCTTTCTCTTTCTCTTTCTCTTTTCTTTCTTACTTATCCACTATTTTTCTTTATTTTCTTTGTTTCTTTTCTAATATTTGTGCTGCTTTTATCTTGTTAAAATTTATTCAATAAAAATTATATTAAAAATGTTTACAATTTTTCATTGCCTATTTCTCTTGAGCTGGAACCAATTATATTTTCCATAGAAACATCACTTTGAATAGTGCGAATTTGAATAATGTGACCGTTTCGTGGGATTCATTAACCACACTAATTGAGACCTACCTGTAATTCGAGGAGAAAGAAAGCCTAATACAATTTAGCGTAATTGTTAGATTGGTGAATGTTTTATCATCAACTTAAAGTAGAATAGGGAAAGCATAAGAGTCTCTAGTAATTCTGTTCATAGATTTAACCATAGTTTTCTTAAAACCCAATTATTCAAGGTTTTCATAATTTAAACTATTGGTTTAAACTGTTGTTTCTCATCTTTTACCCAATAGGTATGTTAAGATATGTATGCTGAGAATTCACTTTTGCAATTATGTTCTGTCAAGAGCAGAATTTTACAACCATAGTTGTTTCAAATTGTAGTACCTGAGAATCTCTGGTGCCTTTCAGGGGCATTGATCTAGATATAGCCAGATGTGAGACTCTGAAATTGAGCCAGAAAGATTAGTTAGGATTGCTGCTAGTGTACTAGCTTCCCTGCCCGCTTCCCTGCCAGCACTCCTTGATTCTGTGGCTGAGTTGGTGATGGAGTTCCCTAGACTGATGGTTCTGGGGGACTTTGCCTTCTCAGGGCCCAGGCTCAAAGGTAGCCCAGGAATTCATGGCCACCATGGCAACCATGGATCTGATCCAGATTATTAGGGGCATTACTCACAGCAGGGATCACATGCTAGATTTGTTTTTTGTCTTGGGGCAATAGCAGTGTGATCTGGTGCTGGGGGATATTAACATAAGTCCCTTGTCATGGACAGATCACTCCTTCCTAACCTTGGAGCTCTCTGTAGCTACCCTCATCTGCAGAATGGAAGGGCCTATTTCATCTGTTGACCCGAGGCAACTGATGTACCTGGCAGGATTCCAGAGAGAAATTGGGGTTGTTCCTGAAGTTCTATTCCACTGACCAACCAATCGAGGCCTTAGTCACAGCCTGGATGCATGGGCAACAGCAGTTTTGAATCAGATTGTACCTATGTGGACTCTGTGTTCATGGATCCCGGAGGGCCCTCTGGTTTTCAGAGGGACTCCGTGAGATGAAACAACATGAGATGCCTATAGAGCTGGTGGAGGAAGGCAAAGAACAAATCTGACCTAGTACAGGTAAGGACCCTTACTGGGGCTTACCCTGTGACAATAAGAGCAGCAAATGGGCTTATTTCTCTTATTGCATCTGCAGGTAGCCAACCAATGGCCTTATTGTAGGTGATTAGGTCCCTCCTCAATAAGGATGGGTCAAGGGAATTCTTGCAAGGTCACTGTGAGGAGTTGTCTGCCCTTTGAGGTAGACCAGATCAGGAAATAGACACCACAAGAAATATTAGAACTGTCGAAACAGAATATAATAGAATCTTGAAAGCCTGACAATATTTCTTCTTCCTTTTCTCTTATACCAAAGAAAGTCAAGGCAGAGCAATCTTGAGTTTCTTTCTCACAGCTTCCTGTTTTCCCTGGCTAAGTTCATGTTTTCCTATCAATTGTTGCATATTTTCTTCAAGGCCATCTCCATATTACTCTACAGGATTTTTTTAAGTATCTGTCAGATAAAGTTGCTTAGATCCACTTGGAGTTGAACTCTGGCTGGGCAGGTCCTTTCGAATTGACTGACACATGGTCCTGCTTGGTTATCTGGGAAGAGTTTTAGCCTGTTGGTCCTGAGGAAGTAGACAAAGTCCTTAGGGCTTTACCACCTGTGCTTTAGATCTATGTCCATTCTGGCTGGTCAAGGCCTCCCAGGAGGTGATGTGTGGTTGGATCCAAATGTGGTGAATGCTTCCCTACATGAGGGGACAGTCCCATCTGCTTTGAAAGAAGTGCTGGTCTATCATCCCCTCAAGTTGGACCCAACAGTTCAGGACAACTTTTGTACAATCTCCAACCTAAGTGGTTGGCTCAGAGCTTCAAAAGACCCTGGAAGAAGCAGATTATCTGGACACTTTCAATTTGGGTTTGGGGCCAGTTTATAGTACTAAAACAGCATTGATCATACTTGTGGATGACCTCTGAAGGGTTCAGGATGGGGTGGTCCATCCATTCTTGCCCTTCTGGATCAGTTCCATCAGTTCCTTTTGATAGAGGGGGAGAGGTCTAGCCCTAGATTCCTGCTGCATGGGGTGCTTCAGTGCTTGATGCTCTTTCCAATCCTATTTAATGAGGTATTATCAGTATGCTAACAATACCCAGTTATAAATCTCTGCCTCGGAATGTGCAAGTGATGCTGTTGAGACTCTTAACCCAGTGGCTGGAGCTGTGAGGGTCTGCATGGGTATGAATGGGCTGCAACTCAATCCCAGCAAGTCTGAGTTGCTCTGGGTTTTTGGGCCACCTGATTCTGGAACTTTTCCACTTGTAACCCTAAATGGGGTGGTGCTCCCCAAGACAGAGTTCGTATTCAATTTGGGGTTCTTGGACTCATGATTCCTGCTTGAGGAGCAAGTGGCAGCTGTGGCTAGGAGGACCTTTGCAGAAATCCATCTTGTGAGTCATCAGGAGGCTCTGATCACAGTTACTCACATCTTAGTCACTTCCTGGTTGGTTGGATTAGTATAATACCCTCTACATGGGGCTGCTCTTGAAAAGCATTTGGAACCTTTAACTAGTCCAGAATTCAGTGGTACGCATAGTACTGGGAGAATATAGGTTCATCCATGCAACAGAACTGCTGCATAAGCTGCACTAGGTCCCAGTAGCAATTCAGTTACCACATTTAAAACCCTGTGGCACAGGGACAGGTTACTTGTGGGACCACCTGACTCCAACAGTTTCTGCCCATCCCACCCTCTGCCCATTGACACGGTGGGCATGTTTCAGTTCCCTTCTATGAAATAGTGTCATCTTCAGGACCCAGAAGATGTGCCTTCTCTATTGCCACCCCTGCCATATGAAGCAGCCTCCCCACAGGGATCTGGATGGCCCTGAATCTGCTAGCTTTCTGGAATGCTATGAAAATCTGGCTTTTCCCTCAGGCACTAGGGCCAGGCTGTTAGTGGAACCAATATATGTGTTTTTGGGACTTGTGAATTGGACCTTATATTCTGTTATGATTGTTTTTCATTGTATTTTGCTTTTTTTATATTAGTTTTTGTATTTTTGTTAGCAATCTAAAGTAACTCACATGTTTGGCAGCCATATACATTTTCTAAATAAATACTAAAATAAATAATTGAGAATTATAAGACAGAAACAAACTGGAATAATATTTTCAGTTTTTGTAAAATGTAGTGCAATTTGTCTTACATTTTAATTATAATTTGCAGGAAAACCAGTGGCTGTCACAAGTAACCGAGGATCAGGAAAAGCATCATTACGTCCTGGTGCAAATCCACAACTGGAAAGGCAATATTATCAGAATAAATCGTTGAATGGCAGAACAGGTACAAATCTGTAGTTTCTTGAAATTGCAAAAAGAAATACTGTTTTGTTTATGAGATTGTCATTTATAATAGCCAAAATTAGTTCTATAGTATTATAATATACTGTCAAATGTGTTGTATTTTTACAAATTGTATGAAAATATATCTTCCATTTTGAGAAAAATGTGGATATGGAACCATTTTAAGTTATGCTACTCCCAGTGAGAATGCTTTCTTTAGAATGAAAAAATTCATAGTGGCAACTTCAAGTGGCATTAGCCATGCTTCAAACAAACATCACAATCCATGAAGATTGATGGATTGTAGTGCCACCTATCAAATTTATTTATTTATTTGTTTATTTATTTATTTATTTAAAATATTTATATGGCTGCTTAACTTGCATGATCATGACTCTGGACTGTGTGCATCAATTAAAACCAAAGGAAAACCCAAATCATAATTAAAACCAAAAATATCAACAAAACAAAGCAAAAAAAATGATATACTAATATCATACAATTAGAGCTATCAGCACACACTCCATCTCCCAAAGTCAGTCCAACACCCAAAGGAAAAACCAAGTTTTAAAGCCTTCCTGAAGGTTAACAGGGTTGGACCAACTGAATTTCAGAGGGCTGGGGAGGTCATTCCAAAGGGCAGGTACTTCAACAGAGAAGGCACACCTCCTAGCTCCCATCAGATGATATTACTTCAGGGAAGGAACCTAGAGCATACCCATCCTGTTAAAACATGTAGGATTGGCAGAAATAATCTCAGATAGGTGGTTCTGCAAACAACCCAGTCTTGTACCATGTAGGGCTTTATAGGTAATAACTAGCATCTTGAATTGCATCCAGAAGACTAAAGGGAGACAGTGCAGCTTGAAAAGTAGTGGTATTTCCACAATACACCCATAACTACCTACACCATTGCATTCTGGCCCAGTGCAGCTGCTGGGTGGTCTTCAGGTGCAGCCCTGTGTAGAATACATTACAGTAATCTGAGCAGATTACTAACTAAGATGTGAGGGACCATGACCAGGCTTCCCAATCCAGGAACAGACATAATTAGCACACAAACTGGAATTGTGCAAAGGCCTTCCTGGCCACAGCTGCTACCTACTCCTCAAGCAGGAGCTGTTCATCCAGTAGAATTCCCAAATTCTGCACTGATTTTGAGTGGGACTGCAACTCTGTAGAACCAGTAGTGGAAAATCTCTGGTTTCAGGATCAGAGTAGGCCAAAACCCATAGCCACTCAGTCTTGATAGGATTAAAGCTTATTCTTCTCCATCCAGGCCCCCTCAGCTTCCATACATTAGAATGAAATTTTGACAGCATCACTTGGTCAGCCACAGGGCAAAAATCTCAGAGGAGTATCTCAGTGGAGTATCATCATACTAGTGATATTTCATCCTGTGCTGATGAATGAACTCATTCAGCAGCCTCATGTAGATGCTAAACAAAAGCCAGGAGAGGGAGAGCCCTTAGACACCCTGTAAAGCTGGGGTCTAGGGCTAGGGTGCTCTCTTCCCACCAACACTGACTGGAACCATTCCTGGAGGAAAGAGGAGAAACATCTTAATACCATGATTCCAACTCCCAACTGCTGAGCCAGTCCAGACAACTACCATGGTCAGTGCTATCAAAGACAAATGAGAGATCAAGAAGAGCTAGGAGGGATGCAGTCCCCTATCCTGTTACCATGGGTCATTGACAAATGCAATCAATGCTATCTTGGTACTGTGTCCTGACCTGAACCCAGATAATCTGTTTCTCCAGGGCCTTTGGTACTGCAGGCTGACCACCTTATCAATAACCTTCCCTAAAAAATAGTCTGGGTTTCTTGTATCCAGCTATGGCTTCTTGAGGAGGGGCAGATCACTACCTTCTTAAAAGCTAGTAGAACCACTCCCTCTCTCAAGGATGCATTTATCATTGCATGGATCCAACTACAAGACCTTTCCCTGGAGGGGCATGGATCTAAAACAGAGTGCCAGAACTACTACTCACAGTGGCTCTGCAGGTGCTCCTCCAGCCTCTCCAGATTGCTCTGAACAAGGCTGTCACCCAATATTTGACAAATACAATAAGAGCTGACAAATAATTACTTTTTGTTGCTCTTATTGCCTCAAAATAGTCCTTAAGGAAGGCTCTTGCTTGTGCTGGGTTAAAATCACTCTGTCTTCCTCCAGTGGTGTTCTAGACCAGCAGTTTTCAACTGGGGGCCATATGGTCCCCTGGGGGCCCTAGGATATTTCAAGAGGGCCACAGGTGAAAAATATATAACAGGGCCACAGCAAGTTCCAAGGGAGACACAGAAAAGCAAAGTGCATTATACTGCAAATACTGTCTTGTTGACACCAGAAAACACACAGTTTTCCATGTTCATATCTGGTAATGGAACCTGGACAGGGGGGCCACGGGCAAAAAAAAGGTTGAGAAACACTGCTCTAGATATCACTTCTACTGCACTATCATGCAAAGAAGCCCCACCAGAATCCACAAGCAGAGAAAGTTCTCACAGGCACAATCTAATCTAAGGGGATCGTCACACTCTCATTCCAAGCAGCTTCAGTCAAACCATGCATCAAAGCCTGAAGGACAACCCCAGCTTCTCTCTAAAACCCAATCTAGTCCATCAGATGCCTGTGGTAGGATGATCAAATAGGCACTTCCTCCCTGTGGTAGGAGACAGCCACAGAAAACCCCTAGTTTAACAGTGATCTGTCTATGGCAAAGTACTGATGTTATATCCCCCAATTCCAGATCATGTTGCCACTACCCCAAGACAAAACCCAAGTCTTGCATACAACTTCCACTGTGAGCCTGGCCTTTAATTATCTGGGTCAAGGCCATGGTGGCCCCAAACTTTCGAGCTGCCTCTAACTCCACAACCAAGCAAGGCAGGCTGAAGTCTCCCAGAACCATAAGCCTGAGGAACCTCACCCACCCTAGCCACACTATAAAGCAGCACAGGTAGGGAGGCTACTACACAGCAGGGATGCCAGTACAGTAGGAGTAATCCCATCTCATTCCTAGTGCCCAGCTTCCCAAATAGGGTCTCATACCCAGTTATCCGTGGACACCATCGCTGACAATTGCTAGAGTCCCCTAGATAACTACAGCCACTCCATCTCTCCCTGTCCCGAGGTCACAGCTGGTGCCATACTCAAAACCTGGTTGGGCACATTTCTGAGAGGGGACATATGCCTCCATGCTCAACCAGGTCTTAGTGTACATGGCAGGTTGTTCCGCTCACATTATTAAATCATGGATGAGGTAGGTTGACCTGACATTAGGTAGCAACAGCTGGAGCCCAGAGCCACCTAAGGCTCAATGACTAGGCATTGGGGCAGAGTACAGTGGGCTGGGACACAGGTCAGTACCAACACTGTACATCAAGACCACATTCCTCAAGAACAGCCTACCCCTGACTCCTGTCGTATCTCCCTTTGCCTATCAGCACCATTATATTCCTGCCTGCCTCCCATCTCCTTCAATACCCTAGCTCTCCTTGACCTCTACCATCCCTCCGCCAGATCCAAGATCCCTATCTACACACTCAGTCCTGTAACTCTCCTGATGGACTGATTGTCTCAGTGTCTGAGCACTTCTACCTAGCACTCAGCACCTTAAGCCCAGGTGACTAGCTGCCGCCACCCCGCACCTTACAGCCACATCCACATCACCTCCCAACCCCCTGCTCTCACCAGGGTCGACAGAGGCAAAAATAACCAGCCAAGTAATGGATAAGCTAGGGTGAGCCCTTACCCCTCTTTCTGTCTCCCACCTGGCAAGAACATAAACAGCCCTCCCAACTCCATAGCACTTTCCAACAAAGTCCAGACTGAACATAGATTTTAAATCCAAAATTATCTCCAACTGAATCTTTCCAAGGTGCAGTTGGAAAGCCTTGGAGCCACTGACACATGTTGAATCCAGTACGTGTTCTGGCTGCTTTGGTGTCTACAAGTCCAGTCACAGTGCATAGAGGACCAGATGGCTACTATCCCCTTCAGTACAGCACAAGATGCAGGCTGATCCTCCTGCAAAATCACCAGCTGCCTCCTGCTCCCACTGATACTCAACACCAATACCCATCTCCCCCAACTTTCTCAAACACCAAGGGGAGGCAAACCCAGGCTGCTAGTGTCACCTTCATATCACCAAGGGAATTGATCATGATGAGCCATTGTCACTCCCAAGAGGAAGATCTTCTAAAGTGCTGGCATTACAGATGTGCTGCTCAGCAGCTAAGCAGTGCTGCTTGCAGCCCAAAACATCAAACCACCAAACAGCTGATCAGTAGCTCAGACACAGCCAGCATTCCACCACTGCTCAGTTCTCTGGTGCCTGCAGCACCAATTACAGTGAATTACTCTATCCAATTTCAATGAGTTGCCAGCCAGGAAACTATGCCATCTCTCCACCACTGAAAATACCATTCCAAAGGCTCTGGAGGCTCTGTGCAGGATCACTAAGGACTGCACTTTCTGACCAAAGACCAGGATGTATTCTAAAAAACTTCTCCTCTTCCAGCAACTTCCAAACACCATGTATCCATTCCAACATACTCAACCCACAACAACTCATCAGCATGCCATGACCAAAAAAAAAAAAAAAGGCAGCTCTTCTGTGTCTTGTTGCAAGAAGAAAGATGGAATAAGTGATGAGAAATAGAAGATATTATCAGTAAAAGACATTGATTGGATACCCTTTCCCATAAAATTCAATACGTGATTCAGGAGACTGCATACTTACTCATCTTAGTAGTACAGTTGGCTATTCTGGCTGTTAGTTACATAAATAATTAACTGTTATAAGTGATGGAAAAAGATTGTGCTATACCATTTTGTGAAAAAAATGCTTGATACAGATAGGAATAGTTATTTAAGCTACAGCAGTTGTTCTCTGAGGTGTATTCTGTTGCTAGAAAATGTATGAGTGCTCACGTGTATATTGGATTAGGCAAGAATGCAGATGGTAAAATTTGCACTTTAGATCTATGCAAAAGAAA